GTGTGTTCTATAGTACTTAATGGGAGGAGCTCTAGTGGCATAGTGCCTAAGGCATTTGACTACCAACCTGAAGGCTGGTGGTTCAAACCCACCAGCCACTCCTCAGAAGGAAGATTGGGCAATCTACTTCCATAGTGATACCACCTTGGAAACCCAAGGATGAGTCACTATGAGTCAGATCCAACTCTATGGCAGTGAGTTTGGTTTGGTTTAACTCACCCATTAACCAGTCCTTTCCTGGGGACCCTGTGTGTAAATAAATTAACATGAACCATATGAATCATGTTATAAAGTGAAAAATGCGCGAAATAAATTAACTGCTTTGGGGGCATCATCTCCAATGACAAACAATCAAGAAAATGGAAAATATATATCAAACAGTCATTTTCAGACTTTGGGATATAGCCTGCACAGGAAACAATTTTAAGACAGGAAGGGAAAACCAAATACAGCCTGATGATATTTCTAGTTGAGGAGACAGGCTCCAGTGTGGTAAGCCGAGACAGCTAAAATTTGAAGGGCAGAATATAAGAAAAGAAGGACTAAAAACTAAACTCACTGCCATCAAGTTAATTACAACTCATAGCAACCCCCATTGGGTTTCTGAGACTGAAAATCTTTAGGGAGGTAAATAGCCCCATCTACCTTCTGCAAAGCAGCTGCTGAATTTGAACTGCTGATGTTCTGGTTAGCAGCCAAATACCTTATCTACTATGCCACCAGAGCTCCTTAGGGAGGGGATGTTGAAAACACACAGCTCTTGGGAGAGCTCCAGAGAGTCATCATGAGCTTTGGCTGAGTAATTCCATGTGCATGTGTAAGATGACACTCAGAATGACTGGAGAAAGAATGGCCAAAAAGAAGTAAGGGCCACTTGTTCCTGGACAATATCCCACATTCTGTCTTTGGCTAATTGCTTCCTCATGGTTCTTTATCCCTCATTTTCCATGAAGTTGGTAGTTAGATCTAAAAGTTGATTGTATTCAGATTCAATATTTCAGGCATATTTATTTTGTATGTGATGCTATATACTTCCTATGGCCTTGTCTGAAAAGACACTTGATGTTTGGTTGTCTCACAGTTAATAATGTTGAGTTTAATGAGTGGATTCAGGTGGTGTCAGCCTAATATGTCCATTGTAATTTACATCATCAACATTTTGCCATATGGTTTGGCTACCATTGGTAATAGTCCTAGATCTAACATTTCAGTAAGTTTTTCAAAATGGTTCCTTCGATATTAACAATTTCCACCTGTTACCCACATCTTCCATTACTGTGGTACATTTGTGGCAATTAATGAGCTAATACTGATAAATTACTATTATTTTTATTTTAATTTGGTGAAAATATACTCAACAAAGCATACTCCCACTCATCAGTGTCTGCATGTATAATACAGTGCCATTGGTTACAGTATTCATGTTTTGTCACCATTCTCACTATCTCTACAGCTGTGTTTCTTCACCATCATTGACTCAGACTTACTACCCCATAAACTTCTTATCTTTGCTTTAGAGTTACTGTTGTCAGTTTGTACCCTTATAGAAAATTCTTTAAAGGAGTGCAATGCTCATGATGAACATTCTTTACTAATTTAAACTATTGTGTAAAGATAACTTCAGAGGATAATTTCAGTTCATGGTGTGAAGATTTTCTCAGAGGGATAGATTTGGGGATTCCTCCAGTCTCAGTGGGTCCAGTAATTCTGGATTCTGTAAGAATTTGAAATTTTATTCCATATTTTTGCCCTTTGGATCAGGATTAATGTATTGATTCCTTGATCAAAGCATTCAGTGTTGGCCAAGCACTATGATGAATTATTATTAACTGCTGTCCTTAGTTTTCACTGGCCAGTTCTTTGAGAAGTGGATAGCTCTTCCTTCTTTTGAGCCTGTCTTAGTCTGGAAGCTCCACTGAAACCTGTGGGTGACCCTGCTGGTATTCAAAATACCAGTGGCATAGCCTTCAGCCTCACAGTAACACACAAGCCACCTTAGTACAACAAACTGACATAATGGTGGAGTCGTAATTCTCCTTGGAAGCGAGAATGGCCAGACTTTGTCTCACCTACTTTGGTCATGTTGTCAAAAGGGACCATTCCCTGGAGAAGGATATCATGCTTGGTAAAGTGGAGTGTCAGCAAAGAAGGGGAAGGCCCTCAACAAGATGGACTGACACCGTGACTGCAACAAGAGGCTCATAGCAAAGATTGTGAGGCGGGCTCAGGACTAGGCAGTGTTTCATTCTCTTGTACATAGGTTCGTTATGAGTTGGAGCTACCTCATCGGCACCTAACAACAACAACGTCTTTAGTTTTCATTAAGGTTCACTTTTTCTGTTGTATAATTCTATGGGTTTTGGCAAATGCATAATGTCTTGTATCCATTATAGCATAAACAAATTAATGTTGTTAGTAACATACTCACACCTATTAATGGTTATAAAATGTTTAAAAAACTTTTTTATGTTTATAGAAACTGATATAGCACACTTGACAGATGCTGTTGGAAAAGATGTAATAAAGGAGGCACAATTAAAGAGTCGACAAAGTAAGAACTTTTCGAGTCTAACATTTCATGATTTCTTTTTCTTCTCTAGAGTTTAATTAAGTATGGATCTTTAATGGCAATGCTGTTGTTAGGTTATGTTGAGTAGGTTTTGACTCATAGTAACCCTATGTGCAATAGAACAAAAGAAAACACTGTCTGGTCCTGGGCCATCCTCATAATTGTTGCTATGTTTGAGCCCATTTTTGCAATCACTGTGTCAATCCATCTCATTGAGAATCTTCTTTTTCGCTGATCCTCTACCAAGCATGGTAACCTGCTCTAGAGACTGCTCCCTCCTATTAACATGTCCAAAGTACATGAGATTGTGAAATGAAACTTTGCCATTTTCCTTCTAAGGAGCATTGTGGCTGAATTTCTTCTAAGACAGATTTGTTCATTCTTCTGGCAGTCCTTGGTGTACTCAATATTCTTCACCAATATTATAATTCAAGTGCATCAGTTCTTCTTCAGTCTTCCTTATTCATTGTCCACGTGGGTCAGATACACGTTAGTCTCAATGTGACATCTTTGTTTTTAACACTTTAAAGAGGTCTTTGCCACAGATTTGCCCAATGTAATACACTGTTTGATTTCTTTACTGCTGCTCCAATGGCACTGATTATAGATCCAAGAAAAATGAAATCCTTGACAACTTCAGTCTTTTCTCCATTTATCATGATATTGTCCAGTTGTGAAGATTTTTGTTTTCTTCATGTTGAAGTGTAACCCATACTTTGCTCTTCATCAATGATTGCTTCAAATCTTCTTCACTTTCAGCAAGCAAGGTTGTGTCATCAGCCTATCACAGGTTGTTAATGAGTCTTATTCCAACAGTTATTTCATTGGTTACCAGTTCTCTTTAAATGATTAAAATTGTGTACAGATTTATAATAATTCAGCTGCGGTATAATTCTTTGGTTGTGTTATATAGTTCAGAGATTATATTAGTGTCTTTACACCTGAAGAAAGAGTATTAAACATATGCTGCTTTATAATCTAAGAAAGACTAATTATGAACTTTTTGTAGAGTTTATATGGAAAGGTAAAATCTGAAAGTAGCTGAAATCTCAGAGCTAAAATGTTTCCACTGAAATTTAAAGATTGAGGCAAGATATCTGTAACTTTAGTTTTAAATGCTGCATTTATTTCAATATATTCACTCCTTTATTACATTTAAAAATTAAATAAAATATTTATTCAAATAGTTCATAACTGAGGGAAAGGTGGTATTTTTTCTAAGAATGAAATTGTTTTAATCAAGAATTCAAATTTGCTTTGTATTTTTACTCTATAAGATCCTGTAGATTATGATGAGTCGTATTTCTATATCCTTAATTTTCAAGATATTTTTGGTTAGGTACTTTCTTTGTCTTGGTTTGTGTGTGTGTGTGTGTGTGTGTGTTCTATAGTACTTAATGGGAGGAGCTCTAGTGGCATAGTGCCTAAGGCATTTGACTACCAACCTGAAGGCTGGTGGTTCAAACCCACCAGTCACTCCTCGGAAGGAAGAGTGGGAAGTCTACTTCCATAGTGATAGTTCCTTGGAAACCCAAGGAGGGGTTGCTATGAGTCAGATCCAACTTGATGGCAGTAAGTTTGGTTTCGGTTTTTGGTTTATATTACTTAATAATTAACTCCTTGTTAATTTAAGATAACAGCCTTAAGCAAAGGAACAAAATATTCTCTCACTTAAGTTTGTTGTTGTTGTTGTTTGCCGTCGAGTCAGCCCCGACTCATAGTGACCCCTCCTTGGGTTTCCGAGGCAGTATCACTACGGAAGTAGGATTGCCCAACCTTCCTTCCAAGGAGTGGCTGGTGGGTTTGAACCACCAGCCTTCTGGTGAGCAGTCAAGTGCCTTAGGCACTATGCTACCAGAGCTCCTTAAGTTTAGTCAATTTAAAATATCATGCCTGTTAAGAACTACTATGCTAATTGACTTATATGAATTAATTTATAATAAAAATGGTCTAAATAACATTTAAAATGTTGAAATTGGCAAAAGAGTAGAATTTGAAAGGAGAATACAGACCAAAAATAGAAATGAATATTCTGGTTCAAAGTAACTTGGGATTGGGTTAATATAAGAATTAAGAAAGATGCTATCAATGAACATAGAACAAAGACAAGAAACAGATAATGATGAAATAGTTTTATAGATTGGATAAATAGACAAGTGGCCACACACTAAAATTTAGGAAGAAAAATGATAAATTCAGAAATAAAGATTACAACATGTAATTTGGGAAGTTGTTTGTGAATAGAATATTCATGGTATTTTTCTTTTTAAATTTTATTTTAGGTGTCCATTTATTTAAAAACATGGATATAGCAACACATTATCAAGAATATATGTTAGCCAAGCAAATCACGCCAAGTGCATTCCCAACAAAAGTGATCAATTTATCACCATTTGAATCACAAGGTAAAAGACTATACATAAAGATATAAGTATCTAATTACCTCTGATAGTTTTTGTAATACACTTTTTTAAAAATATTTTATTCTGTTTAAGGTGAAAATTTACACAGCAAGTTATGTTCCCATTTAACAATTTCTACACAAATTTATCAATTATATTGGTTATCTTTCTCACAGTGTTGTTCTTTTCATTCATTTTGTCTGGTTGTACCATTTCTAGCATTCTAGTTACATTGCCCCCTTACCTTCCCATCTTTGTTTTAGAGTAATTTTTGAAGATGTGGTCTCCTATCGATTATTTTTTAATAAAGAAGCTCATTACTCATGGATGATATTCTTTATTTTATAAGCCAATCTGTTATGTAGCCAAAAGGTCACCTCAAGAGATAATTTCAGTTTAAGGTTTAAAGTGTATCTCAGAACAATAGTTTCTGGGAGTCCTCTAGTCTCAATTGATCTGGTAAGCCTGGACTTTTTAGGAATTTCAGTTGTATTCCACATTTTTCTCCTATTCTGTAATGATCCATCTAATGTTTCCCTAATCAGAACAGTAAGTAGTGGTAGCCAGGTACCATCTAGTTATGGTCTCAGGCTAGATGAGACTGGTTCATGCAAATTATTAGTCCTGTAGACTACTTTCTTCCCTGAGTCTTTGGTTTCCTTCTTTCTTTTTTTGTTCTAGACAAGCAGAGATTAGTATACCCTATCCTCACTCATTGACATGGTTATATCCCAAAGACCAGGTCATTATACGAAAATCGACATTGTGTAGAAAATGGAGGATTCACGATATGAAGGAAACTATATCATTACATAACGGCCAGATTACACCATTACATAACTCCCAAATCACTGAGACTCATGGCCCAGCCAAATTTTCACATAACCTTAACTATCATAGCCAGGATTACTCTCACCTTGCACCTCAAAGTTTGTTACTGCCAGATGAATGTTGTTAATGTGAAAAATAGTTGGATAGTACATTTCTCTTACTATTGTCATGAATACAAAATGTTGGATAATTAGTCAGTCAGTGAGGAGAAAACCAAAAAGAAACAAAAACAAACTCATTGCCATCTAGTCAGGTCTGACTTATAGAGACCCCTCCTTGGGTTTCCGAGGCGATCACTACAGAAGTAGATTGCCTAACCTTCCTTCTGAGGAGTGGCTAGTGGGTTTGAACTGCCAGCCTTCTGGTTAGCAGTCAAATGCCTTAGGCACTACTCCACCAGACCATCTTAGGTGACTGCTTGCAAGCTTTTAAGACCCCAGACACTGTATGTGTGTGTTCTATAAGAATTCCCAGGTATGTAGTAGAGCTGACAAGGGGCAAAGTTGTAGCCACTTCTTGGCCACAGCCAGCTACCCAGAGAGAGTGAATTGTTGAACCTGTGGGCTGGAGACCATAGTCACAGGGGACGTCAAGCTCAATTAGCATAACAAACCACAAAAAAAAAACACTGTTCCACATCGTACTTTGGCGAGTAGCAACTGGGATCTTAAAAGCTTGCAAGCAGCCATCTAGATGCAGCAATGGGTCTCTTCTCATCCAAAGGACTAAACAATTAGTCCAAGTGACTGGTACACCCTGAAATTCTCAGCCGATACAACTATGAGACCAGAACTAGATGGTGCCTGGTTACCACTGTCAACCACTCAGAAGGGGATCTCTGTAGGAGATCCTGGATAGAGTAGGAGAACAATGTGGAACAAAACTCAAAATCAAAAAAAAAAAAAAAAAAAAAAAAAAGACCAGGTTTTCTGGTATGATAGAGCCTGATGGAACCACTGAGACTATGGCCCCTAGATGCCCTTTAGGTCTGGAATTGAACCTACTCCTGTGGCTTCCAGCCAAACAAAAGACAGGCATATGAGCTAAACATTCATTCACATTAGATAGATACACTCCTTGGAGAGATAAATCATGGGAGAATAGAAGGGTTGTGTATGGACAGGGAGAGAGCTTGGGTGGCAGGAGTGCATGGGAGGGAAGGACACAGGGAAGAGGTAACTAGGGGAAGGAAGAGGGAGAGACCTATTGCATTATGGGAAATTGTTTGTAGTCAATGTCATGAGACAAAGTGTATGTGAGCTGCTGTATGGAAAGTGAATTTGCTCTGTAAACTTTCACTCAAATCACAATAAAATTTAAAAAAAAAAAAGACCCCAGACACTATTGATATCTAGAAGATGCACTTTGTGAACTCTATTATACCAATCACCTGAGTTATACCTCAAAACTATGGTCCAAAGCCTCAAACCTGAAAACCAGTTTCACAAGGCGTTTGGTTATGTCTAAGAAGTGTCCATACCTGTGTCCCCTATGTGGTTTATTATGTATATTGACATATGCATGTATACAGACACCTGTATGTACATATGCCTAGAGATATTTCTATTTGTACATACATATGCACCCACATATTCATACTTATATGGCTATATATACATTTCCATTTTGTCTCTTACTGATAGAATCTTTCTGTTAAATTGGTAGCTGCTCTGCCACCTACTTAAAATTAATATTGTCTTAATTCCAGTAGTGTGTAGAAACTTTGCTCCATCACAGTTCCCTTCTCTCTTCCCTCCATTTATGTTAATATTGATACAAATATCTATACATCTTATATGTTTAATACTTGTTTTCTAAATACTGATTAAAAACTTCTGTACTTGTCTTTTAAATAGTTAATAGCTTTAAAAAGTATAAAATATGTGCATAAACCAAGAATACCAAACCCACTGCCATCAAGTCAATTTTCGACTCATAGCAACCCCCTTTGGGTTTCCAAGGCAGCAAATCTTTACAGAAATAGATTGCCCAGTCTTCCTTCCATGGAGTAGCTGGTGGGTTTTAACCACCAACCTTCTGGTTAGCAGTTGAATGCCTTAGGCACTACACCACATACTGTCTTTTATATCTACCTTTACAATTTACCTTTGTTGATTCTCTTTATTTCTTTATGTGGATTTGAGTTAGCATTTGCTACCTTTCTTTTCATTCTGAATGACCTCCTCTAGTGTTTCTTGTAAGGCAGCACTGCTAGGAACAGAATTTATCAGGTTTTATTTATAAGGAGCTCTGGTGGTATGTTGTTTTTATGTGCCAATTGAGTCGGACCTGACTCATAGCGACCCCTCCTTGGGTTTCCGAGGCAGTATCACTATGGAAGTAGATTGCCCAACCTGCCTTCTGAGGAGTGACTGGTGGGTTTGAACCGCCAGCCTTCTGGTGAGCAGTCAAGTGCCTTAGACACTAGGAGCTCTGGTAGCATAGTGCCTAAGGCACTTGACTGCTAACCAGGAGGCTGGCGGTTCAAACCCACCAGCCACTCCTTGGAAGGAAGGTTGG